GAGAAACACCTGAAGAAGGCTGTTATTTGAAAGACCTTTAGTTTGAAAGTTAATGATATAAACAATCAAGATAAGGATACAACTCAAAGCACCATTACAAGACAACACTTATTTCAACATATCTAAACTTGCAGAATATTAACAATGCAGCTTTTATGATATTCACACAAACAAGTTTTGAATGGGAAAAAGAAGAAAGTGTCTTAAAAACTATTAAAAAAAATATTAGTGATGGGTTTAACAAGGCAACTTGAATTATTTTATCTGCAGAGCTCAAGTGTATATGAAGTGATTTGGAAGTTCTGTTTTCCTCCAATAATACAAAAAAACAAAAAAAAAAACTGGATGATAAACATGCACCTTCAGGCACTGCAGCACAAGATGAACTGTGTGTGTGTGTGTGTGTGTGTGTGTGTGTGTGTGTGTGTAGAGGGGATGTGAAACCCAACCACATCACCTACATTTTACCCACAATTCAAAACCCAATGAAGCTAGAGACAATATGTTACTTTCATGTGCCTATACATAAACACTCAGCACCTGTCTGTCACCCTGTCCGTTCGTTCATCTGTTTTTCCGTCAGCTGTTTTCATTTGATTGATTTACTGGCCTCGACAAGTGACTCATCCTCTAGTATGAACACAAATGCAAAAAACAGGACATTTGTTATGCAAAACGTGTGAGTGCCTAACTGCAGTTTCTCTTCAAATTCTACACAGTTCAAATTATTATTGTTTCAATTGATGACCATTGGCAATAAACAGTAAAACAAACATGGAAACAGGATGAAAAATTTAAGTTCAACAAATCATTTTCTAAAAATAAGTAGGAAATGATTTAAAGTTCATTGGTAATCATGGCTGGATTACGACCTTTTAGGGCTAATGAAATTATACTCCTCCCCCTTCAAACAGTCACCTGCACCTGTTTTGATTTTTTTTTTTTTTAATAATGATATATTTCAGCAACATTTACTTAGCTTGAAGTAAACTTATTGCAAATTCTTTAAATAAACTAGAATAGCTGTCTTTTGTTTGTCAATAAAAATATTCTTTAAGAAACACCACTATTTTGCTATTTATTGCCAAACAAATTAGAACATATTTCAACATACTTGTAGTTAAAAAAAAAAAAAAAAAAAGAAATTTTTTATAACCAGCATTATAAAAATAAAACAATCAAAATAAATGGGTTTGTCATATTGATATCATTTCAGTTTATGAAACTATTTTCAAGTCTCAACATCTAGAAAATTAAAATCACTTCTTTATAAAAATTTCTAAGATTTAAACATTCTGAACTAAAATCAAATATCTACTTGAAACACAAAATTAAAATCATTTCTCTCTAAAAGTTTAAGGGGCTCAAGGCTGTAGCCTATACTAAGCCTAACAGGTAATCTGGCCCTGTCTGCAACACTGAAGCCTTGTTGGTGACAACATTTTTTTTTTTTAATTATTTAAAATTAGGGGATTGAATTCAAAGCTGAAAAGTTTCAAATTCAAAACCTGTCAAAAGTACTTCACCATATTTTCATATCAAGCTTAGCACATGAAAATCAAAGAGAAGATAATGACATAATTAAGACGTTGATGTTCCACACTAATTTAAACAAACGGTTAGGAAGGAAACTCCCATCAATAATGGAAAGAGCAATAACAGTTATTAGACTTGAGAAACCCATTTTCCTGAAAAATTGTTTTAAGAAAAAGATTTTATAAATTTCAACTGCTTGGTCAACAAATACTAAATGTTTCCTTGTAAGGAAACAGTCTACAGTTAAATCACTAAAAAAAAAACCAGTTCTTGTTTAATCATCAAAGTTAAGCAACATCAAGCCTGGTCAGTACTTAGATGAGGGACAGCTTGGAAACACTGGGTACTGTAAGAAAACCAAAATTATATTTTGGTTTTACATAACCCACAAAATATTGATAAGCCATAAAAAAAATAAATAAATGAATAAACTCAGTTATAAAGAAATAGCTAATATAACCATTATGATTGGGATGAATGAACAAAAACTTGTTATTAACAAGAGTTGAAGCTTGATATTTACTAAGTTCAGCTTCAAAAATAGAACAAAGTCAAATTAAGAGAGGCTAGAAAGATTGTGTTGCTATGATCTTTGAAATAGAAACTACCTGTCTGCTTTGAAAATCTTATAACTTTCATCTATTCATTATGTTTTTAATTTTTTTTTTTTAACTTGGATTCAAACACTGGGTGACTAAAGAGAAGTGAAATAAGTGAGAAGTGATTTAAAAAAAAAAAAAAAAAAAAAAAATGGCTGAATGATTACCTGCATATAGTAGTATATCAATCCATTTGCCTTTGGCTGGTATTGATATTTTGAATTTAACCCAAGCCCCAGGGGGTCTTCCTTCCAGGCATTACCTTCGGGAAGAGGCTAGGTTTATTGCCCAGTGACTAAGAAGTTCCCAAAAGGCTAAGTGCCAAGGGGGCTTGGGAATGTTCTCCCCAGTATTGCTGTTAAACCCACTTTAAGCCTCGATCTCGTGTCACATCCAGTTGTGACATGGGTGCACTGGTGGATATCTACCTGCATATACTGGTACAAGGTATATTTAGGCAGCAAGTATTCATCAAACACAAGTTTGATTAAAAAGAACCTTTTACACGCTGAAATCAAAAAGAGCAGTAACAGTGAAATCTATTTTCTTGAAAAATTGTTTGAAGAGAAAGATTTTATAAATTTCAATCTGAGAGTAGCACTGGCTGATCGGTCAATGAATTCCAAATGTTTCCTTGTAGGGAATGGCTAATACTACCATTATTAACAGTGGACACAAAAGACAGGACTTTGTTGTATGTCAATATCCAAAACTTGATGACCATTTACTTGTGAACAGTTCTCCAGTTGAGTTAATTCACACAGAGAGAGAAAAATAATAATGAAACATAACCACATATGTACATTTGTTATGTGCACACATTAAAAAAAGGGAAAATAAGCCGTTGTTTAATGGAATTGTAATCATGTTATGTCAGTAACAGTTGATAAGAATATTAAACTAAAGTTTTCATCGATAAAAGAATCTTTTATTCACTTTTGGACTGTCAAATTAACAGCTGTGGAGAGTATGTGGTTTTTGCGGATTTTCCTTAAACATTCTATTTTCTCATAAATATGTGAGGATCTCTACCTCCCCCCCCCCCATGAGTTGGGCATTCATATAACTTACTCTCATTCACTTGTCTTGTGTATGTATATCTTAAGTTCAGTTGGGTTGACTTCCTGTTTATGTTGGCAAAACATGACAACATCCATTGAAGCCCAATTCTACACTTGGTGGCTGTGAGTTTAATTTCTTGGTCAACCCTCTGAGGCATTGAACGCTTTTGATATTCTGATGTGACACCGAGTACAAAGCTTACTTTGAATTCTCTTAGTGTTAACTCAGTACATATTGGGGTTACCACAGATCAACTCTTCTTTCATCAAAGGTTCCTGATGGTCATTAAATTCAGAGTATTTCCTGGTATCAATCACATATTACAGGGTTATGCGGAAGGATGATATGAGTTATGGGTAGGATCACATATGTGAAGGTATTGAAATGTTCTAGGACCAAGAAAACTACCAAAAAAGAGAGAGATCAGATTTTTTTAAGTTGATTCTATATATTATAAGTATCAGAAGCAAATCAAAGGTCAACATTTCCATAATTCATTTAGAAAGTTAATGTAGATTGGAAAATGTTGAACAAGCAAGGCAGTAAAGCCACAAGTGGTTATTCAGTGTGGAAGAATTAGAAAACAGAAACATTACTAAAGAGTGAGAACAATAGAAGAGTAATCAGGAAGACAGTAGAAATCTCATGCCAAAAAATTAACTTTGATGTGCATCAAGCAAGGGTATAAAAAAAAAAAATTCATTTTGGTTTTCTTTCAAAGAAGAATTTATAACAGTCCCCTCTTATCAGACTCTAGACTGGTGCTACAAAATTACCAACAAAAAGCTTTACCAAATAATAAAAACCACATCACTTGAAAGACTTCCAACAGCAGTAACAATTAAAATGGATAGCAAAAATAACTAGAAGGAAAAATAATGTCCTCAAGAACACATGGTACAGTGGATAAAGGCGTTGGTTAGATCCAGTGACAGGATCCAAAGAGTGTGAGTTCAATACCTGGTTAAGGTGGTGGAGAACTTGGAGAGGGGAATTAACAGGAGATAACTGATAACTGACATCCATTAGACATGGCACGTGGAACTAGAACAGTTTACCCCAGTGAGCAAAATAAAGGGTTTAGTTCGACATTCCAACCACCTAAAGAAGGCTGGAGCATACAATAGCCGAAACATCGTAATAAATATGGTGACAAAGATGAGAACAATAGTCCGAATAATGTAAATATGGAAAATAATGATATAGTCAAATGCTTACTTTCCACACTACCTTAAACAAAAGGTTTGGAAGGAAACTCCCATTGATATTAAAAAAAGCAATAATAATGTACTTGAGAGATCTATTTTCCTGAATAACTGCTTTAAGAAAAAGATTTTATAAATTTCAACTAAAAGTAATATTGATGAAATTTTCCTGTAAAAAACTAATTTACCATTTACTATTGTTGGGTGTTAAACTTTGTACAAGAAGATGAAGGCCATGCTAAATGGAAACCAAGATTAACATTTTAAAATGCAGAATTTGATAATTTAACCAAATTGTCGTTAAAGCTAATTTCAACATCCTACATATCCTCTACATTTATGGCTTATCAACCTTTAGCAGGTTATTTAAAGCCAGAAAATATTTTTAGAGTAAGAATTTTTTGAAGATAATGATTTACTGATATAAGTCCTAATAAGTAACCCATAGCTTGGGGGGGGGGGAAGAAGAGGCAGTTTCATGCCTTCCCCATAAGTATCTGTGCATCAATGAATATAATGAATCTGACTAGAATTGGAACTCAGCTCTATAATTTCCAATTCCAAGCTGTTATTCATTACATCACCTGCACATCTATGTTTACAGCACCTGGTATTCTCAAGTGGTCACCCATCTAGGTACTGACCAAACTCGATGTTGCTTAACTTTGGTGATCATACAGGAACAGGTATTTCAATGTGATATGGCTGTAAGCCTAGTGATCAGAATGTATACAATGTATAAAAAATTAACTGACAGGATAATGTGAATACATTGTAAGTGATTTTACTAGAGGAATGCATTATACATCATCAAACACATCTTCAACAACAAAGATCTGAACTTAACAAAAATTATGCTGTTGGCATTTCAACTTTTCAATTGTGAAACCTGGATTCTATAACATTGTGATATCCAAAAATAGAACACTTTCACAAGCAAAAGCTTTGTTCAATCTTGAACATCAAATGGAATTACTGTGTGACTAACACCAAAGTCCTGGAAAGAGCAAATAGTCAAAGTATTGAATTGCTAATCATGAAACAGTCTTTGATGGTTAGGACACGTAGCAAGAATGGAAGAGTCAAGGTTTCCATATCAAGTCTTATTCAGTGAGCTCACTTCAAGGGAAAGACCATGGGGTAAGCTTCTTTGTAGATACAAAGACCAACTCAAAACACTGGAAGCCACTGGACTTAAGCCTAAATCATTTGAAACACATACACAAGAACATACCAACAGGTGATGTTCCATCATGATCGGAACGAAAAGTTTGAAACCACCAGAAGAGAAAAAGAAGTCAAATGATAAGAGAAAGTCTTGACAAAAATCAACCTTGTTCTTCACCAACATTACTATGCAGTCAATGTCATCAGGTCTTCCATGCAAGAATTGGTTTACTTAGTCATCAACACCATCATTATAAAGGAAGTGGTCAGAAAAAAAAAATTATTCTTGGATACAAGATAAAAGCCCCTGTTGTTAGCATTATACATCAAGGAAATAACAAGAAGAGTCAAAAAGAGTTAATTCCTTTTTAACCAGCAATGCAACAAAAAGATGCTTGCTGGAACTTTTTAATTAGGATAAAAATTGCTATCATATTACAGTTAAATCTTAAAAACCACCATAGCTACTTAGTTTTCTAATCACTACAGTATATAAGGGTGCAAATTCAAGATGACCAGAGCCTACAACTCTCCTCTGTCCTATCTAACAGCTCAGTGGGAGTGGGAAAACTGGCTGATCACATTCAATGCCTCAAAAACCAAACTAGTGACATTGCAACATCACTGAGCGGACCCTGAATTTTCATCTGTCTTGATGAATAGGTATTCTCTTAGAGAGACCCACGTATCTCGAGTGCCTATTGGAACTTGTACATACAAATTATCACTAAAGATACTAAAAAGAAATGACATATATGGGCAGGGGCTGCCCAATCTTCACTTTCCAGTCTTGATAGCGTCTAAAAGCATCTCTGCATCCTTGTGAGTAATAAATCATTTCCCACTCTACAATCCCATTCTCACAGACAAAACGTCACAAGCCTCTCACTGCTCTATCAGTATTTCCATGGAAAGTGTTCAGATCAACTACAGAGTGCTCCAAAAGTTGCACCACTATTGATAAGCTTGTAAATTTTATATTTATTTACCAAATGGAATCAGGTTTCTGTATGTGACAATATATTATCAAGAAATTTTATTGGTTAAATTATGGAAGATGATGTCATGCAAATTTTCCCTGGTTGTTATTTCATAAGTGTGTTTTCTGCCAATTGTCACATGACTTTTGGAAGACCCCCATACATTCCTTAGTTCCACCAATTCTAAACCTTCACATCTAAGATCTGCTATGCCACACAAATTGTAGCAAACCACTCTCACCCACTTTGTATTCTATTGGTGAGATGTAAGTTCCACATAAGCAACTTCTTCCTACAAACCGCTGCCTTGTGGAATCAACTCCCAAGAGGATTCTTCTCCAGATAACTACAATCTTAACCTATTCAAGTCTAAGGTTAACTATTATCTTCCCTACATATCCACATAAACTGTGCCTCTTACTGCATAACCCTCTACCTCGAGTGACTCTCAGGTCTTGTACAGAGTGAACGTCACTGCAAAAAAAAAAAAAAAAATAATAGAACTACAGTATTAGCATGTAAGACTACCACATCTTTTTCCTTATCAAAACAATATCGGGCCTTATATACGATTTTGTGTTTTTATTTTTTACCTAATGTCTACACTGTCAGTGCTCGTAGTTTGTCTAACTATTCAAACGTAAATGGTTGGGGAGAGGGCTTGTATGTCATCAAATACGGTATCCTATTCTTGTATTTTTAGTTAAAATCAGAGAAAGCTTATCCACACTTAATGGAAGGTTCTGTATTGACAATCTTTTCCTTCTTAATAATCTCCTGGCATTATTATTTAAAGTTTAAACTGACGGCATCCCCCCCACCTCCACGGTAACCTTTTTTTCTTTTTTTTTTCTTTTTTTACTTAAACTTCATATTTTAATTTCAGTTAAATGTTCACTTTCCAAAATAGTTTATAATTATGATTTGATTTTATGACACCAGGAGTTAAAAGAAGAAAAAAAAAATTTTAAGTAAAAAAAAATAATAATGAAGACAAAAAATGCTAATAATTTTCTGTATAAAATTTTCTGCTTCGTTTCCCCACAACCTTTTACTCGGTTTTCGATACTTAAAAAAATTTCTTACGTTTCTCTCCCCATTAAGCAGAAAGGGTGAGGTTAAGAAGTATAGCAGGCAGGGTCAGTACACAGATCTTTCAGATCCGCTGCCATTGTTAACATCGCACAATGTCCCCTTTCTTGCGTACAGGCAGCGTTTTCTTGGCGTTTCCACCCAGAATCTGATGACTCACCTAAAGAAGAAAAATGTTTCGCCCTGCTATCACACATACTACCCGATACCCGGCATTTTGTAATCTGTACCCTAAGCCTTTTTGTCATTAAAAATCAGAGTTTCTCCTTAGATGGAAAACAAGAATTAAAAAGAAAAATTCAATAGAGGTTTTAAAAAGACACTATATTTTCGTGGCCACTAGACAAAAGTTAATAATATCTACCACGTCATGTCTTAAAATAACACCCCTTAAATCTAGAAAGAGGCGGAGGAGACGGAGAATTTAAGACAACAAGATTTAAAAGGTACAACAGTAGGGAAACAGTGAGTAAAATATCTTTGTATCCAACTTTTACGATAGCCACTTTTAAAACCGCATCCATTGGCAACACCCGAAAACGTGATGAGGGTGGGTAATGACAGAAAACAAAATAAATGAGAACCAGTTGTCAAATTTATTCTGGGGGGAAAAGAAAGAAAAATATAATAAAAATACACTTTATTTTATAGGATTTATTTTACGCTTTTTAAAGCAGTTATTTTATATTAGTTTTTACTACATGACGGCGGCTCGGCTTTACAAAGTCGCAGAAATAGCCATACTAAAGTGGCCCTTTACAAAATACCTTAACCCTCGTCACATGAATAATTTATAAATATTTACTGCTGAGCACTGCATATTTCCCTGGGAGATGATGAAGTATTGCAACACCCACCAATAAATAATGCAGAAAGTAATTAGTAATAAAATAAATTTAATTTTAAATCGGATTTAAAAGAAAGAGCAATTTTAATTTAAAGTAAACAAAATTTGAAGTGGCATGGAGGAAATATTGAAAAATTAAACTATTTAAAATTTCATTTATCACAACAAAGGACAGAAACAGTGATTTTCTAAGCGTAATTCAAACGTAGCAGAAGGCCGAAAGTATGGCCATCCAGTAAGGATCGAACTCACTATTCAGTCGCGTTTGATCTAGCGAGACAAGCTTGCTAACCATTATATCACGTCAAAGAAAAGTCTCTCTTAAATTATGTAGTTGCTGTCTCAACCCCTTTTTGGTAGGAAAGTAATCAATGAAAAGAAAAAAAAGGTTATCTCTTATGTCAGTAGTAAAGGTGTAGGTTAAGTGGTGCCTGGCAAGCAGCATAAGGCGTGGCCAGCCTATAGACAGTTTCTTTTTCAGCACAAAGAATAAAAGAATATGCTTTTGTTAACATTTTCCAATAGAGAAAACCTCTTTATTTTCTCTTTCTGAATATGAAAAGACATCCCCACCCCCGCCAGCGTTACCTTTTTTAAAGATTAATGGTGCTGATTTCTCATGATTTTTTTTTTTATAATCACTGAAAATATAATAATGATAATATTAATAAACAACTATGTTTAAGAAAGCAAACATCAAGATTTGACATTTTCTTTTTAAATAGAAAACAAAAAATAAAATATATAGAAGTAGAGAAAGAAAATGAGAAACTAACCGAGGAAAATATATATAAAAATTTAAAAACTAGCAAAAATATTTCAAAACAAGAACGTTGTTTTGTTTTGTGTTGATGACAAGTGAAAATAGTATTTGTTCTTTGCAACATCTAGAAAAGTATTGTGGGTTTATTTATTTCATTTTGGGCGTGAAAAAAAGAAAAAAAAAAAAGATACTTATGAGAAAAGGTCATTGATTTTGTTAAATGTAATAATTTCTGCAATCAATTTTTTCATAATTAACTTTAAAAATGTATGGAGAATGGATCAATTATGAAAAAATTTAGTATAGGAGAAAATGAAGCTAAACACTGTAAATTGCACTTGGGGTAGTTATGTCTAACACCATAAGATGCTATAAAAACAAAAGATTCTTGTATGAGTCTCATGCGTGGCAATCAACTTGTTCAGAAATGCTGAAACTGCTTTCTTAGAACAATGATAAAAATGGCTTCAAATGAAAAAATTCTTTAAATTTTAATTAATGATAATGATCCTTCATCAGACCCATATAGGCTGGCATTACAAAATCACTAAGAATTTTGCCAAATAAAAACACCACATCAATTAAAGATTTCCAACAGCAGCAACCACTAAAATGGATAGCACATGAAACTTGAAGAGAAAATAATTATATAATTAAGATGTTTATGTCTACATTATCAAAAACAAAAAGGATAGATTAATTTGTTTATTTTATGGTTTAACCCTTTGTGGATTATTTAAAAGCAAAACATATTTCAGATTGTAGGAGGTTGTTTAATGTTTACAGTCCCTGATGTTCCCAATTGGTCCCCCCCATTCAAAAAGAAGGAAACACTACAATTACTAGTAAGAGCAATAACAG